ATTAGGGCACATGATCAGCTAATCAACAGTGATATTATCACTGCCACGGTCCGGGCAAACAGGGTTTCCAGGTCCCAGAAAAAAATAAAAAATCAGCCAAAAGCTGACAAAACCATCCATAAAAGTCAAGACAGATTTAGGCTAGTTATATACAGTAGCATCGTTTCAAAGCAGCTTTACAAATCATGATGCTCTTGTTTATTATTTATTTATACCTTAAATATATTATATTAATACAATTTAATTATTCAAACAATGCCTTAAATGGAACATTTTCATTTTCAATATCCATACTGTCCATAAGAACGAGAGAGAGAGAGAGAGAGAGAGAGAGAGAGAGGTGGAGTTTTGTTGGAGAATAATAGGTAAATGTTCAAATACATAGGTTCATACTTCAGGTTGACATTCAGTACAACAACAGCAGAACTATTCAAGACAATAATGGCATTATCAGGTCAGTCAAACTTTTTTAACTTACATTTAAATTATATTAATAGTATATAGAATAGTCTATTAGGCTTTGATTTAGTGATAACAAGTGAGAAATCCTGAATCATCGTAACTGTTACATAAAGAGAATATTGGTAACATATATTATACAATTACACCATATGATAGCAAAGTCTTTGGTTTTAGTCATTGTGATATACAGTATACAGATGTAGAATACAGGTCAACAAATAAAACTACATTGTAAACTGAGTGCTGTAACAATGTTACGCTGATAGTGTTAAACAAAACACACAGTAAATGTGTCACATAACTTCTGTTAAGATCTAGAGGTAATATCGCGGCTATAGTCCTGGCGCGAAACCTTTAAATTTACACACTTCATAAAATCAAGACGTTAGGCTGTAGCTCAAAGCTTGGTGGAAGGAGGCTCTTGTCGGGGACGGCTTTCTCAGCCAGACTTTTGTTCCACATTCCAGTCCAGCAGGTGGCGGTAAAGCACCTATTAGCTGGTTTGCCAACCGCCAAAAACGCTTAAGAAGAAGAAGAAGAAGAAGAAGAAGGTAATATCGCGAGAACAGAGACCCACGATTAGGATCGCGGGAGAGAATGATCTGCACGCAATTGTGAGAGCGTAGAGAGAGATATGACGCGCACTGTGTAATCGAATGTGGCTAATTCATGATGTTTACCTCTTCATGTTTAATAAATCAAGTGTTATAATCTGCCGAGCTCCCTGTCGGTGTCCTCCTTGAAACAAAGCCAAGAACCCACGAGCCAGCGCGCGGTAGGAACTGTGAAGCTCGTATATAGAAACTACGCGCGTTACACTGGTGGCAGCGCTGGTTGGCTTGTTTTTGTTTGGACACTTGTTTTTTTGTTGTTGTATTGAACGATGTGGATATAGCCACTTTAACCTGCAGAGGCGTTGATATTGTTTTTCACGTGCTCTTTTTGCAAGTTCGGATTACGTGCGTTCTCTCTCACACAAAATGGCGGACGACGAGCATGAAGCAGCTGCGGTACAGAGAGACAGACATGTTGCAGATGCAGCAAACCCACATCTGCCATTTAAAATTGACCTTCCTCATCCTTTTTCTGGAGACGGTACAGAGCCTTTTAGTGCATGGATACAGAGATTCGAAGTTGCACTTAATGTCTCAACTGTATCCCCGGATAAAGCCAAACTTCTCTCTGTGAAGCTTACTGGTCCAGCATTTGCATATTGGCAGTCTCTCCCATCTGAAGTGAAAGCTGATTATGAGTTAACTAAACCCAGTTTGATAACTGTCTTTGGCCATACAACATTTTTGGCCACATTTCAGACATTTTTGAATGCTCGTCCCCGTAAACCACAAGAACCTCTTGAAGTCTATGCTGCTGAGCTCACGAATTTATTGACTGAAGCGTTTCCTCAATATGATGCAGCAGCACGGAATTGCAAAATTTTTCATAGATTTGTAACTGGTTTAGACCCATCGCTTCAATTGAAAATCCATGAGCATGGCGCTGTGACTTTGGACAATGCTTTGAGAGTGGCCACTCAATGTGAGCATGCTCAGTTGGCCATCAGTGTTGCTAACCCTTCAGCTGTTATGCCTGTGATGGTGAATCAACAACCATCGGCTAACACTGTGACAGCAACCCACATCACTGAACTGGCATCAGCCATAACTGAACTCCGAACTGACTTGCATGCCTTACGCCAGTCTCATCTACGACGGACGGATGAACGTGTGGACCAGCTTTCGCAGTGGATTTCCAGTCTTCAGGACGAAGTGACATCTTCCACACACTCTCCACATCAGTCCTGTGCAGCTGTGGACTACGACATCGCAGCACGCCATCGCCAACCTAGCTTGGACGATTATCATCGCCGTCAGGACTGCTGCTGTACTGCACAACACGCACAGAGAGGTCGACAACACCCTCGGGACGACTGCTATTCTCAACGATACCACCGTGGCTACTCCGAACATGATCGGAGTAGTGATGAGTAGTGAGATGGCGCCGACGTTGATGGCTGCCTCCGTGGCGTGCTCCGCAGTTGTTTTTATGTTTTTGTTAGTTTGTCCTGTCTTTAGTTATATCCCTGCAATCAGTTTCACCAGAGACGAATTGCTGGACATTCGGCAGTACACACCACCCGATATTTCACTGGTTTTCGACTATTCTGATGTTTTGCTGGACATTGTATTCGGGGGAGCTGCGGCGCTGATCAAACGCTTCAGGACGCGCAGACGGGGGAAGCGAGCCGGCGCTGTCGCTCAGACAGCGCGGATTCAGAACGCCGTTGCCTGGCATCCATCTGGCGAACCTCCGCTCTCTACCAAACAAAACGGACAAACTCCTTCTGCTCTCCCGGACAAATAAGGATTTGCCAACAAGCTTGGCCCCCCCTTTGGCCCCCCCTAAATTTGGAATCATATCACACCAAACAATTTTGGGTGAAATGCGCAGTTTGTCCTGTAAACTATGCATATAAAAAAAGAAAAACATCTCCAGCAGCTAAATTCAAATCTGCGTTCGCTGGCTGGCACAGAGCCAGAGACACACACGTTTTTAAAGCGCTGCACATTATAACCAATCCCATACTATTATGTTGAGTTTATGAATACAAAGACCAATTGCGCGCGCTGGCTGACTGAAATCTCTGGCTAATTATCTAATCAGAAACAACAAAGTGAAGATGTACGAATGTAAGTAATATATTACTTTTACAGTGTAAACAGCTTTAGAGATTATTGTGGGAGTTTGAGAGTGCTTGAATTCGCTGGACTGAAGTGAAAATGTTCTTTGATAGTGTAAACGTTCTTTGCTCTCTTTTTGTACAATGAAAGTGTTATAGGCTAATTAGTAACTTACTATGTTTTTATTAACTTCACATTAATCTCCAAGAACTGTACTTATCCAGAGTGAGCAAAAGGGCTGGCAGAATCACTCTGGACCCCTCACATCCAGCACACTCCCTCTTTGAACTGTTGCCATCTGGTCGACGCTACAGAGCTCTGAGCACCAGAACGGCCAGACACAGGAACAGTTTCTTCCCTCAGGCAATTAATCTCATGATCACTTAACAATAACTGTGGAACACACACTATTTATTCACTCATACACTTATTTATCTAACACTCATACTCAGTCTACACCTCAAATTTGCACATAATATACAGTACCTGTACATGCAAAACTGTCTATTGTAATATACCTGCACGTACAATTGTCAATTTATATATTTTTATTCCTTATTTACTTGTTCTATTTTTTATTATCTGTGTTTTTTGTTCTGTCGCTGTCATTCTGTTACACTGTGGAAGCTTCTGTCACGAAAACAAATTCCTCGTATGTGTAAACATACCTGGCAATAAAGCTCATTCTGATTCTGATTCTGATAAACCACCCCCAATTGATGAATTCTCCTGCCAAAGACATTGTAGCTACTCTAATTCATCCCGTAGTCATGAGTCACACATGCCTCACACCACACAATCTAACGAATACTCCCCCCACAGACATCATTATGGAAACTCCAGATCTGGCCGCTCGTCTTCACACAAGGTATTACACCTCCCCCACACGTCAATCTCACAGAGGGAAAGCCCCTTTCTCGCCACATCAGGGAAACGAGTAGAATCTGTCATTGGGGGCCAAATGCCAGCTTCATCCCCAATAATGGTCCACTCTGATACAGTTGGTTTTAACTCTACTCCACCCACACCTTTTATTCAAATTGCACTGGCCGGTACTGAACTCCATGCTTTGGTGGATACAGGGTCAGGCCTATCTCTCATTATAGATGACTGTCGTAGATCCATTCCAGCTTTGTCTACACAGTCTATCAGCAAGTCATTTGTGTTAGCGTCATCAGTTACTGGACAGCTATTGGACATACTTTGCTCTGTGACAGCTCCCATACATATTGGAGATGTCAAATTTCCCCATGTATTCCATGTAGTACACACCGCTACTCATCCTGTTCTTATAGGATGGGATTTCCTAATTGAGCACAACATTACCATTGACATACCACATGCATGTTTACAACTATGTAACACTTCAGTGCCTCTTTCACCACCCCAGTCACTGATTCCAGTACAAAGTTCTGCAGTCAGTGTCGCTCAGGTGACTGTCCCGCCTATGTCAGAGATGGCAATCCCAATTTCTGTCAAAGATAATGGCATAGCGAATCCTTTCACTGACTCGTATGTGGGTATACTGGAACCACAGCCTCCTCCAGTTGTGACCTTAGGTGTCGCTCGAACACTGACCTCAGTTCAAAAAGGGAGGGGCATAGTTCGAGTTGTTAACCCGACTAATGAACAAGTCTCTCTTGATGCTGGATGCCCATTAGGTCAGCTTTTCTCAGCCGTCGAGACTGCTGCTGTACTGCACAACACGCACAGAGAGGTCGACAACACCCTCGAGACGACTGCTATTCTCAACGATACCACCGTGGCTACTCCGAACATGATCAACCACCCCCAATTGATGACTCCTCCTGCCAAAGACATTGTAGCTACTCTAATTCATCCCGTAGTTATGAGTCACACATGCCTTACACCACACAATCTGACGAATACACCCCCCACAGACATCATTATGGAAACTCCAGATCTGGCCGCTCGCCTTCACGGGAGCGCCGGCCTGATCTCGACCGTGAACATGTAACCCATTATGCTCGCTCACCCTCACCCAGTCAACAGTACAGACACTCCAGTTATCGCAGACATAGCTCTCCATCGCCACCTCCCCATTCCTATAGTTCACCAAGGTATTACACCTCCCCCACACGACATGTACACTTCTCTCAGTCTCACAGAGGGAAAGCCTCTTTCTCGCTACATCGGGGAAATGAGTAGAAGCTGTCATTGGGGGCCAAATGCCAGCTTCATCCCCAATAATGGTCCACTCTGATACAGTTGGTTTTAACTATCCTCCACCCACTCCTTTTATTCAAATTGCACTGGCCGGTACTGAACTCCATGCTTTGGTGGATACAGGATCAGGCCTATCTCTCATTACAGATGACTGTCGTAGATCCATTCCAGCTTTGTCTACGCAGTCTATCAGCAAGTCGTTTGTGATCGCGTCATCAGTTACTGGACAGCTATTGGACATACTTGGCGCTGTGACAGCTCCCATACATATTGGAGATGTCACATTTTCCCAGGTATTCCATGTAGTACGCACCGCTACTCATCCTGTTCTCATAGGATGGGATTTCCTAATTGAGCACAACGTTACCATTGACATACCACATGCATGTTTACAGCTATATAACACTTCAGTGCCTCTTTCACCACCCCAGTCATTAATTCCAGTACAAAGTTCTGCAGTTAGTGTCGCTCAGGTGACTGTCCCGCCTATGTCAGAGATGGTAATCCCAATTTCTGTCAAAGATAATGGCATAGCGAATCCTTTCACTGACTCGTATGTGGGTATACTGGAACCACAGCCTCCTCCAGTTGTGACCTTAGGAGTCGCTCGGACACTGACTTCAGTTCAAAAAGGGAGGGGCATAGTTCGAGTTGTTAACCCGACTAATGAACAAGTCTCTCTTGATGCTGGATGCCCATTAGGTCAGATTTTCTCCGTCACTGGCAATTCATATGATGAGTATGCGTTAGTCTCAGCCGTGACTACTTCTAAAGAAGATGTCCATCCAATGCCTGAAGTGCATTTGGAGGATACACAGCTAAATGCTGAAGAACAGGCACAGCTCAAGAGCCTGCTGACAGAGTTCGCTGAAATTTTTAGCTCTCATTCTCATGACTATGGCAAAACTAATTTGATTACACATAGCATCAATACTGCTGACGCTGTTCCAATAAAACTACGCCCATATAGAACATCACCAGCTACTCAGGCTGTACTGCGACAAGAGGTGTCAAAGCTCTTGGACCACAACATCATTGAGGAGTCTCACAGTCCATGGTCAGCTCCGGTTGTGCTTGTTCGGAAAAAGGATGGCACACACCGGTTCTGTGTCGATTACAGACGCCTCAATGATGTTACAATTAAAGATGATTTTTAGCTCTCATTCTCATGACTATGGCAAAACTAATTTGATTACACATAGCATCTATACTGGCGACGCTGCTCCAATAAAACTGCGCCCATATAGAACATCACCAGCTACTCAGGCTGTACTGCAACAAGAGGTGTGAAAGCTCTTGGACCACAACATCATTGAGTCCATGGTCAGTTCCGGTTGTGCTTGTTCGGAAAAATGATGGCACACACCGGTTCTGTGTCGATTACAGACACCTCAATGATGTTACAATTAAAGTTTCACACCCTCTTCCTCGGGTGGATGATACCCTTGACAGGCTTTCTGGAGCCAGAGTGTTTAGCACTATAGATTTGACTGCTGGTTACTGGCAAATACCCCTTAACCCGAATGACAAAGAAAAGACTGCTTTCTCCACTGGTACTGGGCTATATATCAATTCTGCATGATGCCAATGGGCATCTCTAACGCACCGCCCAGTTTCCAGCGCTAAATGGAACTTGTGCTTCGGGGTCTGCACTGGAGCATTTGTTTGATCTACTTAGATGATATTATCGTCTAAAGTGCCGATTTCCCACAACACCTACAGCACTTACGTGAAGTTTTCCAGCGATTTCGTACAGCTGGTCTAACACTTAAAGGGATAGTTCACCCAAAAGTGAAAATTTGATGTCTATCTGCTTACCCCCAGGGCATCCAAGATGTAGCGACAACTGCTGAGTTATTATTCAGTGCTACACTGTGCAGCTCATCACATTTGTAGCGTAAAGAACGCACATTAGAAAGGAGAAAACCAGGCATAGATGGTATTGACTTGTGTTGGTTTGTCTTGATATGAATTAAGTTCTTAGGTTGGTAACAACAGTGAGATAAAAACATTCTTTGCCCAGTTGGCTGTCTTTTAATATCCACAGCAGTTCCACATGAAGTAGGGCGATTTCCAACAATTGTAAATATTGAACGAATATAATTTCTCCCAGCTTTCTTACCCCTTGGGCGAGATCTGAGTCGAAGAATCCCATTTAACTGCAGTATGTTCTTAACTTCAGGAGCCAAAGGAGATGCACATCTTCTCAGACTTCTTAAAAAATGAAACTCACTTAAATGTCCAGGTTGTGCCATTGTAAGGAGAAGAGGGAAACAATTACTTGAAGATGGTTTCCTCAATAGTTTCCTATCATCCACCCAGCTGTAGAAGAGTAGGCCGCATACCAGAATCCATCCAAAATCTCCCAGGAATAAATCCATCCACATGTCCTAACTCCCAATATAGCAATATAATCATACAAATAAGTGATCTATCCGTGCATTTCTAAACTATATTAAGTTAAAATTGTTTAAAAAGCTAAAAAGACCCGACTGCCAAACAGCTTAACTTTCATGCGGCTGCCCTTAAAAGCGCCACCTAGTGATCAAAGTTATTATGGTGAATTAGAGGTAAAAAATGATATAAATACTGTTCGGTTTCTGACACAAACTGATCGTTCCATGTCTTAGGACATCAGTGTGTCGTCATGAGCCGCAGGGTTTAATTTGGATTTGTCTGTGCATGTTTTTTTTGCTCTCATAGATTTTGTTACCATTGCCATCCATTATAAGACTGATAGACTGCAACGGTTGGACTTAAAAATCATCAAATGTGTTCTACTGAAGAAACAAAGTCACCTACATCTTAGATGCCCTGGGGGTAAGCAGACAAACATCAAATTTTCACTTTTAGGTGAACTATCCCTTTAAGCCATCCAAGTGCCATCTAGCGCTCCTCTGTTACTTTTCTGGGCCACCGTGTTTCCAGTGCTAGTGTTGTGCCAGACCCATCTAACATAGATAAAGTTAAGACATGGCCAATCCCAACATCAGCCACACAGGTCAGGGCTTTTCTGGGTCTGTGTTCCTATTATCGCCGATTCATTAGACACTTTGCATGCACGGCTGAACCCTTGTACCATCTTACACACAAGGGAGTATCATTCTCTTGGTCAGCAGAAGCAAATGAAGCTTTCAATGTACTGAAACAGGCGCTGACTTTATCGCCAATTATGGCTTTTCCAAATCTTTCAGCTCCTTTCCTTCTTTACACAGATGCTTCCCATCATTCTGTGGGCTCTGTTCTTTCACAACAAGTGGAAGGAAAAGAGCATGTCATTGCATACGCCAGTCATGTGCTGTCTGCTTCAGAAAGAAAATGGTCTACTTTCGATCGAGAATTGTATGCCATTGTGTGGTCGGTTCGCCACTTCCGACACTATCTTGCTGGTCACACGTTCACTATAATTACGGATCACAAACCTCTGGTTGGTCTTAAGAAACTTCCTTTAGATCATGACCCTACAGGTAGACGAGCCCGTTGGGCCATAGAATTGGACCTTTATGATTGGCATGTCATTCATCGTGATGGAGCTAAACACCTTAATGCAGACGCCATGTCTAGGCGGCCAGACACTAATCCTGTGGAATCTGATAGTCGCTCTCGGGGTGATGTGTCCATCATTTCGGTAGCAACTCAGACCACATCA